GTCCATTTTGCATTTCAGGGTGATCAAAGGGTCAATGCTGAATATCAACATAAATTAGGGTCAAAATGTGCAAATGAGCTTAAAAAAGGACCAGAATTGGAGGTGATGGAAATCAAGGGCTGGATGGTTCAAATGGAGCTAAGAAAGTGGAGAAATCCTTGTTATAGAAAGAAGATTGATGGACGATGATCTCAAGTAGATGAACTCTGCAGCAACAAACTCAATTAAAGATGAAGGAATGGCAGCTACTCTACTGCCAAGTTGTTGCTGTAGCTGTTGTTGCTGCTGTCAATCAGGAGGAGCGAAGAGCTGAAATCTTGCTGCCAAAGGAAGGAATTGCTTCACCATCACTGCAAGTTTTTGTTGCTGGAAGTGGAAGAAGAGAGAGGAGAATATGAAGAAAATAGTAGCTGCAACTCTGCTACTTACCATCTGTTGTTGCTGTTGACTGACATGAAAGATTGGCTGCTGCAGGAAGGTGAGAAATCGTGCTGCAAGTAATCCCGAGAGACAAGGATGAAAAGAGCAGAATATTGAGGCTGAATTGGGGGCTGAAAAGGAAGAAATATAACAATGAAAGCATGCTGCTGAAGCTACTGCTTGCTACCTCTGCTACAACTGTTGTTGAGGATTAAAGAATGAAGAAATGGAGATTTGTGGCTGAAAATTAGTGAAGAGGAGCCGGAGAAGAAGACTAAGAAGAACAGGCAATGATGAGAGGAATGGTGGCTAATGACGGTTGAAAAGAGGGAGCAGCGAAAGAGCAAGTTGCTGAATAAACAAATCTCAGCTATTGCCAGTTGCTGCCTCTCTTGTCTACTGTAGAAAAAGAAGGCCAGAACTCCACTAATCAAAGACTCTCCAAATCTCTATAAACAAGCAGCCAATAGCAGTTAGGAAAGGGATAGATTGGATAGTGAGAATCAGTCCAAAGATAGTTTAGTTAGTTAAGTTATTTGGGTAGAAATAGGGTGGTAGCAGGAGCAAAGAGTGCAGACTGCCACTCTGTCAAGTGGCGAAGACCACTCGCCAAAGTGAGCAGACAGAATCTGCCCTGCTACAACCTTTCCCTTCTATCCACTAATCTTTTGATCTTAATCATGACTGATCTTTTGTACTTTTTTGCTCTCATGTTTAACTCAATAAACATGAGTAGCTAAACTCAGTTAAGGGTCTAATCCCCACTATCTATATGTAAAGCTTTTGATTCAGTTTCTTATATAAGGCATTGTTCATAGTTAAGTATTTAAATTAACCTGTTAATTAAACTGGTCATTTAATTGATTATGCATGCATAATTATGGAGATCTGAGAGGGAGAACATAACTTTAGAATGGCTTAAACTAGTCTATAAGGAGAAAATCTACCATTTGGTTTCAATCATCAACGAGAGTTAGGTGCTTGGTATAGGTGATCGATAAGGCTTAAGAACTCAATGGCTTGGATTAATAAATAATTATCTCTGAGAGGTAGGTAATTTGGTTAATCTGGGACTTTTTATTTTGTCTGAGAGGAATAGTAAAGAATAAAAGTGCCTGATCAAACAATAAATCATATGTAACAAAACTCAAATGGATCAAAACCGAAGCATATAGATAGAAAGGTGATTGACCCTGCTGCTCTTTCACTCTGTCAAGTGGGTATTCTCACTCTCTCGAGTGACAAATCTATTTATCTTATTTTTCTTTGGTTCCATATTAATTAGATTTTAAGCAGTTAACTGTCATCTCTGTGGAACGACCCTACTTACCACTAGCTAATAGTTTTCAGTAGGTATTTATTTCTTTTGGGAGTATCAACGAATCATTAAACAAAAGTAGCGCCGCTGCCAGGGATGGCATTAAAAATCCTTAATTTCTGATTTTTGTGTTTTTTCTTTTGTTCTTTAGCTTACTGTTTAACCCAAAGTTCACACAGTCACTCAAAAATCCTGTTATTGTTACTATCAAGCTTTAAATTTGGTTTATGACTAGAAGCTATCCTTATGGAGAGTTGAGTTTTGATCCAGAAATCGAAGCCACGGTAAAGAAATCAAAAGCCTTGCGAAACAGAAAAGCTACTGCTAACGTTCCTAAAGAAGATCAGAAGCCAATGGCAGAAGTAGCAGGAGCCGATCAAAATTAAGAAGGAGAGCTACAACCATCTCAACCCAGACTGCTAAGAGACTATTTTGTACCTCAAGAGGAGTAAGTTCAGACTCAATTTTTGTACAATGATGTTGTAGCAGAGAACTTTGAGCTTAAAACTCAAATGATTCAATGGGTGCAAGCTGCTTGTCCCTTCTATGGACTGCCTAGTGAAGATCCAAATGAGCACATCAGGAAATTGCTGAGATTGTGCAACACATTCAAAATCTAAGGTTTGTTCAAAGATGAGGTTTACTTGAGACTGTTTCCATTCACACTGCAGGATTTACCAGCAAAATGGTTGGACACACTGCCCAACCATTCATCCGAATCCTGGAATGGACTCAGACAAGCATTCCTTACCAAGATTTTCCCCCCTGTCAAAGCTGCTGCTTTAAGATCAGCCATCATGACTTTTTAGTAGCATGAGACAGAAACTCTCTATGATGCTTGGGAAAAATTTAAGGATCTGATGAGGAAATGTACTCAACATGGTATAGGAAAGTCAATGCAGCTGTGTATTTTCTATAATGGATTGCAGCAAGCCTCCATAGAATCACTTGATTCTTCATCAGGTGGAGCATTCATGATGAAACCAGTGGAAGAAGCAATCCAGCTGATGGAAAATATGAGTGCTAATCATTTCAGGTGGTAGAAAGAGCCTAGAGCTACTGCTAAAAAGGCAGGAGTGTTGGAGCTTGATGCTACAACTCACTTGCAAGCACACATATGACATATTGGCAAAGCCATCGGCTGATCCCAAAATCGAGAACATGAAAGGATATGATGCGGAGTATACCTACGCATTATGATTTGGCTTCTCGGTTACTAACAATGTGGCTGAATACGAAGCGTTGATAACAGGTCTCAAGATGGCCCTAAAACTCGAGGTCTGAAAAATCCAAGTCTTTAGCAACTCTCAGGTGGTGGTAAATCAAATCGTAGGTGATTATACAACAAACGATGGGCAGCTCAAGCAATATCTAGAGAAAGTTCTCGAGCTAAAAGATAAGTTTGAAGAATGCAAAATCTCCCACATCATAAGGACAAAAAAAAGTAAGGGCAGATGCATTGAGCAAGTTGGCCTCCTCGAACTTTGTACACCTTAGCCACAAAGTCTGGGTCGAGATCCTTCCCGAACCTAGCATTCGGAAAATGCCGACAATGACTATCACCGAGGGTGGTGACACTTGGATGACCCCGTTCATTCAGTACTTAACAGATGGGACGTTACCCAATAATAAGTCCGACTCTCGAGCGCTCCAGTTGAAAGCGCCAAAGTACACGTTAAGAGATGGAGTGTTGTACAAGCATGGATACCTGCTACCCATGCTACGATGTGTTGGACAAAGACAAGCAGCATACATCCTAGAAGAGGTTCATGAAGGATCATGCGGAGCACACATGGGAGCCAGAGCACTTGCTAAGAAAGTACTACGTTTCGGGTACTTTTGGCCTATGATTTTCAAAGATGCATATCAATTCATACAAAAGTGTGACAGGTGTCAACGCTTTAGCCCCATTACTCGACAGCCGTAGCACGAGATGGTCACCATTCAATGTCCTTGGCCATTTTACCAATGGAGCACCGATATCATTGGCCCTTTTCATCCAAAAGGGGTAGGGGGAGTACAATGGGTAATCGTAGCGGTAGATTAGTTCACCAAGTTGGTGGAAGCCAAACCGCTGGCCTCAATATCTGGAAGGCAAGTGCTAAATTTCTTCGGGCAAAATGTCGTCTGCCGCTTTGGAGTTCCTAGAGTTATTGTCTCCGACAATGGCACTCAATTCGAGAGTAACCCTTTCAAGTCTTGGTGCGAAGAAATGCAAATTTAGCGTAGGTTCTCGAGTGTGGCGCTCACCGTCAAGCTAATGGCCAAACAGAGTCTATTAATAGAACTATCTTACATGGAATCAAGACCAGGCTACGCGACGCTAAGGGAGCTTGGGCTGAGAAGCTCTCCTATGTCTTGTGGTCATATCGTACCACAGCCCACTCCTCGACAGATGAAACTCCTTACAGCTTGGTCTATGGTATGGACGCGGTTCTCCCAGTCGAAATAGGCCTCGCAAGCCCTCTTACAATCAACTTTTTCGAGAGTTCTAATGACGATGATATCAGGCTAAACCTCGACCTGCTCGAAGAACGGCGAGACGCCATCAAAATAAGGGAAGCCAGATACAAGGAATTACTTAGAAAACACTATAATAAGCGAGTCAGTGCCACAAACCTCACTGTGGGAGATCTTGTACTCAGAAAAAACGAAGCCAGTAGAGCCGAGACTCCAGAGAAACTCACTACAAATTGGGAAGGACCTTACAAAGTCATTCAAACTTCTCCAGCAGGCAGCTATCGGTTACAAACCATAGATGACAGTGGAATCATCCTCCCACAATGGTGGAACATACAAAACATCCGCAGGTTCCATGTTTAAGCTCCTATTTGCTACGTGCTAGTTTAAGTTGCTTACCTTATTTGTTTTATTTGATTTACTGCTTTCACTTTTTCATATGTAATACCCAAGTCCTGGGATAATTATTTAATAAAAGTCATTGCATATTTTCTTATATGGTCGACATTATATTGAGACTAGTCTTCGAGATGGACTCCCACTTTTGGGCCATCCTCATTCAGAGCCGTGTATTCAACATTCGGAACCGAGGAAATCCCCTTGTACACGCCGTGGATCGCGGTAATAAGTCGAGGAACTCGTACCCAGTTCCCCCAGGGTGCTGTGTACTTTACATCCGGCCAAAAGAAGCACTATATAAATACTACTCGAGTACAAAAAAAAAATAATGCCGATAAGGATCGAATCAAATATATTGCCCTCACACCCCGTGCGGGGTTGGGATAAATACATTTTTTTACCCTTAAATATTACGATCTTCTCCTTGGGGTATCGAGAAGCCTCGCTTCCTAAGAAGGTCAATACATTGATTCAGTTTGTCTTTCAAGTCGAAAATTTCCCAATCTTGCTCGTCGATCCTAAGAAGGAATTCTTCGGCGGCCGTCCTTTCACGAGCTTCTGCGTGTTCATCTAGACCCTCGAGAATGGGAAGTGGAATCTCACGATCAACCAGTACGTTCTGTAACACGGCAGATTGTCTCGAATAAAATTCAGCCTCTTTAGTCCTTTTCTTCAACATCTCGATGGCGGCAATGAAGCGCTCTGTCCTGATTTGAATTTGCTTCTCAACAAGGGAAAGGATGTGGAACTTCTTGAGAAACCATGGGAAAACTTTGATTCTTTCACGGCGCTTCAATTGGGCATTCTCCTTCCTTAAGTTCGCCATTCATTCATTTATATTTGCCTCCAGTATCAGGGAATCATGATAATCGAGGTCATACTACCGAAGGCGGCATTGATATTCTTCTTCCTTTTGCTTGAACCACTGTACTAGCCGAGAGTGTATCTGTACATTGTATGCTTGTATGGCATCCACAATCTCTTTCTCGAGAGTTCTTACAACAGAAACACTGTGGACATGGCCCAACTTTCTCATTGCCGCAGAAACCATATACATCGAAAAATTTTTAGCTTGATTTTTGTCCAACATCATCAGATGTACCTGGTGTACAAAGTACGATTCCTAGCATAAGACATGGGATAAAGTTAAGAGGGATTGGATATCATGTAAATGCCAACAGATACTTAAAATGTTCCCATTCATCACAATGAAGGGCGATACAATAACTTCTCAAAATAAGGAAGAATTCTATTATAGGGGAATTAAATTCATACAGCAGTCTGGGAACGAGAGTCATTCCCTGTTTGGTCTCCAGATGATCCCTCGCTAAGAGGGTTCCCTTCCTCGGCCCCTCCAGTATCTCCCACGGTTGGGGGATCTTGGTCCTTAGCACCTGAATTGCATGTGTCATCCTCCTCAGCAGCCTCATCTTCATCTTCCTCAAGATCAATTCCAAAATCCTCCTCGGAAACTTCAGGTATTGCCAATTCCTCACAAGGACCTCTAGAGAAAACAGGAGCCGCATCCCCGGGAAATGAGGCAATGCTCTCGGGCGAGCCCATCTTGGATAGAGCCTCACACAAGGGCTCCCACTAGGGTAGCTGATCTGTGGATAGTTTGCAAAGACCCTGGACCTAGGCCTCATACATGGTCTTCGTTGGGTTTTCCTTCAGAAATTGCTTCAGCCACTTCGCCTTGATAGGCTTTTTTGACTTTAGTCTCTTTAAGCCCTCAACGGTAACTGCGTGGCCCCCATAAGCCATCGAGGCAATGTTAATCTCTTCCACAGCAGTGGTCATCCCCCCTGATGATAGCATCCTCCACCAGAATGCAGTGCACCATTTAGTAAGGTACTCCTTGGAGATGTGTAGGTCGCAATACTCTTGAAACTTCTGCTTCAGTTCCCCAAGCTGAGTTTTTACCGAGGCAAGCTCAGCTTCCTTGGCTTGCAGCTGATGGTTCCTTTCATCGAGAACCCGCTTCTCGGTCACCGCTTGATCTCTATTAGCTTGGGGTTCTGCTAGTTCTCGCCTTAGGTCCCTGGACTTTTTGGCATGGTTCATCATGATTGTGCTCATCTGTGGAAACCAAACACAGAACAGATATACATTCAATTATAAAATATGGAAATCAACGAATGGGTATGGATTAAGAAGTTTACCAATTTTAATCTATCTTCCTCAGTAAGGCTGGCAGTGAACTCTTCCAGCACAGGGCACTCGATGGTAGGAGGATTGTCAAAGGTGTAAACTGTGACGGCAAGGCCCCCGGCTGGTATCTTAGGGGGCAGGATGGTTACATTGGTTACAGTCCCCTCGACAGGACTTTTTTCCTTCTCGACGCAACTGGGTCGAGTGCTTGGCCTGGTCTCCTTCTCTGAAGGTGCCTCCTTCTCGGTTGTAGGGGGAATAGTCTCCTTGGTCTGCTTTTTTGCTTCAATCTCCTTGTCGGGAGAAGTGTGGGTTTTCGACTTTTTCGTGGTTGGCCCCTTCTCGGACTCCCTGGCTACTGCTCTCTTCTTCTTCTTCCTCTTTATCTTCTCTAGCACTGATTTTGTTATGGAAGTATTGTCATCTGAGTTTACAACATTAAAGGGGTTGGAGTCACCATATAATCCAGAACCAGCGTTTCCTGATGATATGACCTAAACACACAGGAAGAGATTAGTACCTTCCTTTTCCCTGAAGGGGACACCGATGATGTTGTCAGCTTGTAATCCCTCGATTGGCATGACAGGAATGAATTGTTGCACCACTCCATACCCTAGTATCTTGGGATATCTCTCGAGTTTCTCTAAGTCACTGGCAAATTCTTTGTTCTTCTCCTCATCCTCCTTCGTCCACTCATCTTTTACCGCCTCGAAGCCTTCGGCTTCTCGATAATTCCAGGCCACACAATACTTTTCAGGGGCCTTTACATATAGGAAATTGGGTTCGCAAATCGAAGACCCACTACAGGCTTCTGCTATCTTTCGAGAGCCTGACACAAGGTTTCTCTTCACCATATACCAATCCTGAAAAGCTGTCAACAGTGTCGACACTCTAAAAAAGTACCTCCACAACATAAGACAGGGTCTCACCCCGGCTCATTGGCATTTCTTTATAAAGCCGAGGATGTACATTATGAGGTTAGGGGTGAATCGAGCTAGTGGGATTTTGTAGTAGTGCACAATCTCCTCGAACAAAGGAGAAAGGGGAAATCTCAACCCCAGAAATATGAAACGTTCGTAGATGGTGATTTTGTCTTCTGGGGGAGTATTGGCTCTCTCAGTCCCTAGGGGAGCTCTCATTTTTAAATCCTGGGGCAGGTTATATTTTGTTCTCACTAATCCAACCTTCTCGTCGGAATTTATGGTGGAGGCAAAGTCATCTACGGTTTTCAATTCTGGGTTCCTAGCCATGATTCAACCTTGATTTGTATCAATCTATTCAACCACATGAAAACATAAGGAAGTAAATGGAATCAAGAAGTCGTAGATCTGGGAACTTACTTGTGGTATTTTAGGCAACGTTTTCGACTCCTCTTTTGAGTTATAGCTTCCCAGATTTGCAATAGTCACCGACGGCGGCTGTCCCTGGGTGTCGGCTAGAGGAGTGACGGGGTGGTTTGCTGATAACACAATTAAGAAGGCGGATATTACCGACTGCAATACCTGGGGCACAGTAGGCGAACTCAGATTTTTACAGGATGGGCTTTGAGAGTGGGGGAACTCTCTTCACTGTATGAAACACAGGGAATAAAGAACCTGAAGGGTTTTATTTACTGCTATTGCTACCCACAATCTGACGGTTTGGGCGAGTTTCAAGGGAGCAGTAATGATAGAGGCACTGTCACTTGGGGAACGTGCCCACTGATACAACACGATTTGATGGTTTGGGCGGGATCTTAGGGCGGGTTGCCTCCTTGGGTCGGATCCTGACCCGCGAGCTGCTTTGTTGGACCAGCTCAGTACAATACAGGCTGTGTCTGGTCCGCCTCACTTGGGCCGGGTCCAGGTCAGTTTTATTTTGTGTCAAGTCTTGTTTATTTTGTGCAACTAATACTTGAAAGGGGCACTTGACGAGTTCATATCCACTAAAGATTACTAGACCGGCCCATCAACCAGACATGGTCCAGCCGACCTGATAAAGGCGGTTCTAGAACATGAAACCTAGTAGGATTCGGCATCTTTCAAGGTAACTTCATGTCTATAAATAGGGTTGATCAGACCACAATACGGGTACCCGATCTCTAGCAAACATTACCACTCGCATACATTCTTAAAACCCTTTTCTGACTTAAGTATTTGAGTCCCTACCCTCGGGAGACCCCCGAGGCCTTCTTTTTCAGGAAACCCTAGCCAAACTTCCACTACTAAACTGGCTGTGGAAAACCAAGCTTCGCCAGTTTTTAAACTAAAAAAAAAAAACCATAACAAAGCCTCAATGATCCGCATTCAAATGGCCTCCTGTTCCACACTTTGTAAAATTTCTTTCTTTTTCCCCGACCTAATTGTGTAGATACTTCACCTTCAAGACCACCATCATGACCACCAATGCTTAATCTTGTGTATGAGGTGGACGAACTTCCTTCACCACCCATACAATATCTATGGCATATAGACCCTGGATATTTTGCAATGATGCGCTCTACAGCCGAAATAATACCAGCATGTCGATCTGAAATAATACATGTACTCCTCTCCCCAAGAACTCTTAATTTTAGATATTTAAGGCATTACCAATTGTGTGCGGTCTCATCATCCACGACTGCATACGCAATGGGAAGAATGCGAGTATTTGCAGTCTGCACCACCGCTACAAGCAACTTTCCTTTGAATGAGCCACGAAGATGTGCTCCGTCAACACATACAACCGGAAATGAAATATGAAAACTCTGCTTGCAACTCCCAAACGGCCAAAACACATATCTAAAAGTCTTATGCCCCTCCGCCCTAACCTTTTTGAACTTCCACTGAGCACTAGTGTCTGGATTTGATCTCTGTAGTGCCTCCAAATGCTTGGGGAGTTCACTGAAATTTTTTTCCCAATTACCATACACAAGGTCAATTGCTTTCCTTCTTGCATTCCATGCCTTATTGTAATTGACCTTACATTTAAAGTATGCTAAAACATCCTCTTGGATACTCTTCACAACGTATGCAGGATTTGTTTGAATCTTTGGCTGGATCATTTTTGCAATCATTCTTGAACTCACATTTCGACTATTGTTGTCTATTGATGTGCCGCCTCAATTGTGATCTTTCACCCATTTTGTTATTTCCCAGTACGGCTTACCAACTTTTTGCACTGCTTGCATACTCCATTGGGATGTAGTGTCATGCCTCCGCTTAGCTGGATATTTCGGATCTAAGGTTACACACTTAACAGCCCATACACGTCCCCTCATCTCTTTTTTACAAAAGTTCACCCCTTTTCTCAATGACCACTTGGTAATGGCAGATTTCACCTCTTTCTTGCTACGGAAACATGTCCCAGCACCAATTTTATCCAAATTCTCATCCCACAAGACTGGAGCACTAGGATCACGACCCAAATCGGGATCAAGGTCACCAGTATCACTAAAAATAAATTGTCCTGTTTCTTCAGTTACTGGAGTATCACTTGCATCCGAATCACTTTCATCCGAGTCACTTGCATCTGTGTCACTTGTATTTGAATCACTTACATTCGCAGGGTCAGGTTCCTTATCACTCTCAACATTATCAGCACAGTCTTCAAAATCTTCATTTTCGCATTCATTATGTTCCCAACCACTTGGTCTAGGTTCCAGATGGTGCTCAGATGTACTACCATGATGTAATACATGAACATTTTTTACTTCGATGAATAATTTTGGATAATACACTGAATAATTATAAACCATTCGTATCGAGTTATCATCTTGAACAACGAATGGCCCCTTTCTAATGTTCTGCTCAGCATACACCATTAAAATATTCAAATTCACCCGATTTCTATCTAACTTTGCAATTGCACATATTTCTCTAGCCAAATCTGAGAATGACAACATTCTATCTACCCAAATTATCCCAAACGGGATATTGCTAGCACAAACATTGTCGAATTGCCACTTCCAAAACAAATTCAATGGAAATGGTTGTAAAGAAGCCATTTTTTACCAAAATCCTATATCGAAAATTTCCAATTAACAAAGAAATAATGCAATATAACAGTTATAAATAAAAAACAACTTAAAAGTGGTGACAAAACTTACAAGAATGGTGGTGCAACACTTGCTAACACATTTGGGACAGAGATTGCGACCAGGGAGAGAGATGCTGCCAAATTTCGTTTGTTTTGGTTTGGAACTACATGCACATGATCGATTTCAGAATTTGTTCTGGACAAAAATGTTTTGGATTCTTCAAATCCGAAACATTACAGATAAAATTACACGTGACGAAAGAATGACGGGTAAAATTGGATAGGATTATTTCGGATTCAAGCTATCCGAAATATTGTTTCGGATTTCACATATCCGAAAAATAATTAATTTTCGCATTTTCCAGAAACTAAAAAATTTATATTTATTTCAAACGTATTTCGAAAACAAGATATCCTAATTATTAATGATTTTTAGTATTTCGGATTCCCTAAATGCAAAAACCACCTCAGTTGCATACATTTTAAAAATCCACCCCTATTCTGCTAACTATTTAAAAAAGTACCACCTAAACCAAATGATCCGGCATTTCCCTCCAAAATAAATTCACCTAATCTAAAAGAAGCTCTATTACAACGTCTATGACCAAACGAATAACTACAAGCAAGAAAACAAGATTCTAAAAAGTAGATGTCTTCAACTATGATTAATGCTTCCGGTACCGGACACCTTTTATCATTCAGACAGTCCACCAAAGTTTTAACGTCTAACTCCACCTGTATATTCTTCCACAAATTCATTGTGCAAAAATTAGAGCCACTTAAACTACATCTAAGGTTGCCATCACTGGATTTTGAAGATGATCCCTAGCGACTGCCCAAGCTTGCAGAAGACTACCATCTCTAGCAACAATACCTACTTCAGGTATACACTCGTACTGCTGAAATAAAGCACTTACATTTCATTTGATCACCCCTTCTGCTGGTTGAACCCAATGTGATTGTTGTTGTGCTTGAGTGTGATGAATCAGGCTTGGAAGAAAAGCCTTGCAGTGAGCTTCATATTCTAACCACTCCTCCATTGCCTTATTGACCACCTCCCACTGCGAAAGAAATTGAGCATTGAAAAGCCAATTGTTTCTCCATTTCCATATATTCCATAATAAAACTACAAAAAAATGGACTCTTCTCTGGCCTTCATAATTATTGTCCACTTTCAGCATACGAAAACTCCAGTGAAGTTGGAGTCCAAGCCATCCCACTTCACTGGAGCGAGTTCCCAGGTATGCTTCACCATTGGACAAAGAAGGAAAAGGTAAATTCCAACTCATCCCCACACAATTAGGTCATTTGTTTTCAATCCATCAAGTTGTAGGGATTTGGAAAGGGTCCTATGTAAAACACAAGTTTCATGCTTCTTGATTACTTTCTTTAAAACAAAAAAAAAAAAAAGAACAAAAAGAAAAAAGAAATATACACGCTAAAAAACACTTTCAAACAGAGGTTGCAGTACCTCATTACTCTTCTTTGAATTCACTTTTGCCGAATTCAAAAATTACTGTAATCCTGACTTGCAAAGAAGTTATAAAAATGAAACTGCTGATTTTGTATTGTCTAGAAGCTGAAGTAATGTGTGTCCAGAGTTTTTAGAAGAGTTTATGATGTGTATAAGAAATGACATTAGAAAGCAGGAACTTGAAGGTATGGCCATTCAAATGTCAATACAATTAACAAAGTACTGTAAAACCATATATAATAGTCAAAAATACAAGACCAAAAATTGAAATGTTGAGACATCAACATACACAGGACTTTAAATTATAGGAACACTAAGAAGTACAAATGCCAGATAAACTTATGCTCCCTATAAGAAATCATAAATAATCAAACAACAACTGCCAGCCATCAGTGCTGAGGTCCCTATGTCCACGAAAGAAAAAAAATTGAGGTTACACCTGAGCAGTGCCTTCGGTGAATTTCGGGTCCTCACATCTGTACCTTCCATCAGGTCCGATTCCAAAACCCCTCGGATCAGCAAAAACATTCTCTAACAGCTGACTACGAGCTGGAACAGGGCTTTCATCAGCAAACTCAACAGCATCTTCAACTAACTCATCGATCTTCTTGTCAATAGCCTTCAATTCTGCTTCACTGGCCAAATTGTTCTCAAAGATGTACTTTTTCAGAGCAGTGATGGGATCTCTGGTAGCATAGTGAGCCTTCTCAGCTGTAACAAAAGACACCTTAATTAGCAAAATGGTTCCATAAAAGAAGACATCAGTGGCATTTATATCATACAGACTCCTGACAATGCTACTTTCACATCATCATATAGAGTTTTCACAGTTCAAGTTGAAACAAAACAAAACACATTAAGGCATGTATTAACCAGAGAATGGTGGACAAACACCACAAATTTCTCTTAGCCATCGTGAAAGTAATACACAAAAGAAATTAGATCACTTTGAAGCGGATGGAAGAACACTTTCAAGTCAAATGACCACCCCAATGACTTTAGAATAACTATTTTCTCATTATATATAACCATTGCTTATCAGCCTGGACTCGCTCCAACGTTTATCCAAAAAAAGTTTTTAGTTCTTAAAAACTAAAAATAAATTTCTGGGTACGGTAATGTGCCAAAATAGTGGAAGGATGATTCTCCGTAGCAGTCATGAAAAGAAATGCAGTGCTTTGGTTCATATCGAGTCCAATCAACTCTCGTTCAGATTTAAAAACTATTGCATGCTAAAAAACCTATGAGACAGAAATAGACGTCTTGCGGGAAATGACATTCCTACAGTTAAAATGTAATTCATGCCTAAATAATGAGTCCCAAAGATCTTACCGGGGTCACGAAGCTCATCAGGGTCAGCTAAAGAGTGTCCCCTGAACCTGTAAGTTTCACATTCAACCAAAGTTGGCCCTTCACCTCTCCTGGCCCTACCAATGGCCTCCTTTGCTACCTCTCTAACCTTTAAGACGTCCATTCCATCAACATGAACACCAGGCATCCCGAAGGCTGGCCCTTTCTTCCAAATTTGAGGATCTGAGGTAGCCCTCAAGTGAGACATTCCAATGGCCCATAAATTGTTCTCAACAACAAATATAATGGGGAGTTTCCAAAGTGCAGCCATGTTCAAGCACTCAAAGAACTGGCCATTGTTACAAGTGCCATCACCGAAGAAGGCCAAAGTAACATGATCACAGTCAGCCTCTTTCAAGACCTCCCTCTTGTATTTGCTTGTGAAGGCAGCCCCAGTAGCAACAGGAATGCCTTCACCAATGAAAGCAAAACCACCAAGGAGGTTGTGCTCCTTAGAGAACATATGCATGGAACCACCCTGTCCTCTGCAGCAGCCAGTGGTTTTACCAAAAAGCTCACTCATGACTTCACGAGCTGGGACCCCTTTGCTCAAGGCATGGACATGATCACGATAAGTGCTGACAACAGAATCTTCTTTCTTCAAAAGCTTAATAAAGCCGGAGGAGACGGCTTCTTGGCCATTGTACAAATGAACAAAACCAAACATTTTGCCTCTGTAGTACATCTGGGCACACATGTCCTCAAAGGCTCTGCCGAGAACCATATCCTCGTATAACACTAAGGCCTCTTCTTTAGTAACAAGCTGCAATAACAATTAAAAAAAGTCATCAACAATCAAATCTTGATCTATTTTTGGAGTGCAAAAGACATTTTTCTCCTACAGGCTCTTCAATGCACATTCCATTTCTCCCTCCCAATTTGACCCCCAAAATTTCCATGTAGTCTTGATTGAAGTGGCGAAAATCAGAACTGATGGAACAGTGAACCAATATCGATTTTAGATGGTGGGACTCCATTTATCATGGCTTCACAACATTTAATATTAAATTACCATCAATTGTTGGTCTAAAGTACTCAGTTTTCTAATCAGAAAGAATCGGCAATTGCAACTGGATGCTTAAGATCACATGATTCTCTTCTAAATTAGTCTTCTTATGTCTCTTTCCTATTTATTTATATCTAAAACTAAGGTCGAAACCAAAATTGAGAAATTAAGAACCCTGGAAACACATAGGGGAAAGTTAAAAAGTGGAAACAGTGAAATTTGAAAACCAAAAAAAAAAAAAGCAAAGGAATCCACTAATTTCGTATTTATGATCTAGTATTTCACACCAGCAGCAGTGCAGACCTAAAATCAGAATAGACAACTACAACTATACAATATGATCTACAGAGTACATGCAAGACCGGCTCATATTTGTTATCATCATTTATGTCTCCAAATGTTTACATGGTGGTTATTTTAAGGGCACAAGGCATCTTATTTAAGGACGCACCATCTTTTCCTTTCTCCCTCAAATTCATCACCGATTAACAAATATCAAACCAGGGGAACACTAAATTCATCACGATTAGATTGAAAGTAAGGATTAAAAACACATTAAATCCACAATCAAAACAGAACATAGCTGATTCAGAACATAAAGTACACTAATTAATCCAAATCAAAAAAAAAAAAAGAAAACCCGAAAATCCGAAACCATAGTAAATTGATTGAGTGCAGCATACAATACCAGATTGGAAAGAGAAGCATTGGCAGCGGACTTCTTCTCTTTGACAGCCTCAGAGACGGAAACAACAGTCCGGCGGCGGGCGGAGCACGACGATGAAGAAGAAGCGGAAGGAGAAGGAACAATGCAGGGTCGGGAAAAAGAAAGATTCTGGGTGGTGGATCCCAGGAAAGAGGAACTGAGGTCACCGAAAAGGGGTCGGTCGGAAGATCTGGAAGAAGAGGTGGAGGAAGAGTTGAGGAACAAAGGCTGCATGAAAGCGGTGGCTGAAAATGCAGAAGCCATTTTTTTGCCCCCTTTCTTTGTTCTGATTCTTCTTCTGATTACTAAACTAAATTGGGGTTTTTCTTGAAGATCATGAATTGGGGAGAATGAATTTTGCAGAAGAAGATGAAGAGGAAGGATGAAGAAGTGAAGAAATGTATAAAAAGGGAAGGATTGTGGGCAGATTTGGCGGAGAACGCGAGAAAAAGCTTAGGTGGGAGTGTGTGGAAATAACCGTCAGTGTAGTTGGAGCTTCTCTTCTTTAATTTCTTCAATTTTTTCTTTTATTATTTTTCCTTTTTTAATTGGAATGACAAAAGTGACAAATAATTGTATCTTCTTTTTTGTTTTAAAAAACTACAATAATAGAAATTGAATATGATAGGTGAAAAATGTAACTACAGTGGAAGTTCTATAAATTAATAGTGTTGGGACCACCGAAATTTATTAATTTAACGAATTATTAAATAATCGATAAATTAGTAAATTATTAATTTAAAAAATTTCGATGACAAAAAAACTGAGGCTAAAATTTCTTAATTTTTAAATATTTTTACATCCGAATCAATCAAGTATTAAAACTTTTTTGAAAACTAAAAGACTATACATACTTCAATCATCTCTAGGGTCTAAAAAATAATTATGAATATTTCATATTTTATTAAATATTCATAGTTTTTTTTTTTGTTTTTAAGGTATTTATTAATTTATAATATTGTTGGGACCTATAGATAGATAGGAGATTTTTTGAAACATTATTATCTTATTATTTTATCGAATTTTTTCACTTTTTATACTAGTCCCAAGTTGGGACCGGAGAAAATTATTAATTGCTATAATTTATTAGTTTATAAATTATCATAATTTACCGACGTTCTACTGTAGTAATAAAACTCTAAAAGTTTGTATTACTCCCCTACAAAAGAAAAATAAGATTAAAATAAATCTTGCTTAATTCTTTATGTTCAAATTTTAGTTGTTTAGTCCCTAATGATTTTTCTCCTCATAAAAGTTTTATTCACCATTCCCAAAAAATAGATTTATATTGAGTTTTAAAATTTGTACTCTAATTTTTATTTATTTTTTATTGAACTTTCTTTTTTAAAAAAAACAGATGAAATAATTTTTATTTTAAGAGGAAAAAGATATCTATGTAACTCATTGAATTAGGCATAAAATGATTTGAGCATAATGAAAGTGAAACTCAACAAACCAACACCTTGGTAGTTTCACTTTGCTTTCTGCTCAACTTTCCCTCTTCCTCCACTGTTTTAGTTCTCCGTTATATTCACCATAATTACAAATAAATGAGGAAATAAATGGTTCATAATCACAAGTTGGGTGAGATGATTGAAGCCGTTTTCTAATTTCAAATGGAGTCTTCAAATCTAGCTAATTTACTCAGATGATCGAAGAAAGTGAAAAACCTATGATGCCATGATGTATAACAGAAGGTAGAACTCACGATATATTTCAATATTTCATACTCTCTCAGGTCTCAAATTCCCTTAGAGCGTAGACTAACTTTTACTTATTGCATGATGTATAATTTATTAAGGGTGTTGATGGTTTGGTTCAATTCGGTCAATCCGTCTAAACCGGCCGGCGGTTCGGTTTTATGGGTGGTTCTTATTTATGATTTTAATCCGGCGGTTTCAAAAGTTATAAACCGCAAAGAAACAGTTCGGTCTCAGTTTGGAATATTTAAACTGGTGCTCAATCCGAACCGGACTGTGTATATAACTTATGTTTTTTTTTCATAAATATTTTTTACAGACTGTGACTTTTAACAAATTGGTAAGTGGCATAAAATGCTTTGTATGTATAATGTAGAAGGAATGGTGCGGGAATCCCCTCCCACTCATTTATACATGTTTTTTATTCTTTTTTCTAGAAAGGGCCAATCGTGACCTAAATAACTCTCAAGATTAGTCCAAATAACATCTAAAAAAAGGCCAATTTGTAGGTATAATTGCCAAAAAGCATCAGAGGCCCAAATTTAAGCTTAAACCTTTAAACTGCCCAAAACAAACCGTTTCATGTGGTTTGCATTGATCCGGCTTGAAGATGTTATTGATTTGGTTTCGATTTTAAATATTTAAAACCGTTTTCTATCGGTTTGGTCACGATTTTGTCCAAACCCAAACCAAACCGGACCGTGAACACTCTTACAATTTGTATATATTGTGTATCATACAATATAAACAAAACATTAACGGCATTGCTTAAATTAATAATAATAGTGATGTACGCCTATAGAATCCAGGAAATCTACTTTTAGGGGCCCATAACCCTAAAGATACTGATAAATGTTACAGTTTAACTACAAATCAACAACCATTTGACCAACTTTTTGCAGTGAGCTTCCATTGTAAAGAATGAGTTCCCTTGGTATGCTAGTGTTTATGACCTACATATTTACTGATACAGATTGTTGGATAACAAGAAAATAAGGATCTCCGTTTTGGGTAATTATTGGAGAAAGCAACTGGTAAATTCCAGGAATACAAATTAATTGAACTTGGGGTCATTATCCTAATGGCTACAACGAATATTGGCAGGAAGAAAACAAAATTCGTGTACAAACCCCCCCGAAATTAGACGTTGATTCTTCTCTCTTTCTTTTCCCCTTCACTTGGTTCGTGTAATCACTCTTTCGGCTAAATCTACCAGAGCTCGTCTTGATCTTAGAACATTTTCATCATCTGTTTCTGGCAGAGAATCAATAGCAGCCGAGGCAAGATTCGCATGCTTCTCGGCTAACTCCTTCGTCCTTTGTATTCCCCGGCTCTTTTCCAGATACTCTAGAGCCTATAAAAGTTCGTGATACATGGTTAGCCCAAAATGACCATATACCAAAGCCAGTATGCAAACAGATTACAACAGTTTAGAACACATCCACCACAATTTAGTACACTAAAATAAATGCAAGGCAGTTGAAAGCAATATTACAACTTAACTTTAATTCTAGCCCAAGTAAAAATTAGCAACAGTTTAATAGGTTTTTATAGAGATTAACCAGTCTCAGAAGATATCCATCAATCTGCTAAACAAAACTCAAATTAGCAATGAAAGCTATGAATAAATGGAACAGAAAGAAAAAGTATCACTCTCTGTCATCCTTACTGGCTGAGAAATTTGGGATGAAAAATGATTTCAAAGGTTCATACTCAAAGCCCCAAACTTCTACTGAACTTAATGGCACGAGGTAGGCAACTAATCTTTCTAGACAAAAAAGATCGCTAACTGCCATTATAGACCATGAAATCCTCTTATGTTAAAAGAAAAATAAAACCAAATGAACTACAGTACTCTGAAGGCACACTTCGACAGGTAAAAGTCAACAAAAAAAAATGCAACAACTTGGTAGGAGTCACTCAGATTATTCAAAACCTGAGCTTTTCCTCCCTTCAAAAGTCAAATTAATCAAAGGAATAAAAAGTCTACAGAGATCTGTTGCAGCTCAAGCACCAAAATGATACACATCTACATGACTAAATCAACAAAGCAATCCACAAGAAAAACACTTACAATATCCACATTTGATGGATTGTCAAATCCTCTATCAACAACAGCACGAAGCTCAGGGAACTCTTCCATCGCAAACAATATTGGAGCAGTAACAACTCCCTACCAAAAAAAGAAAACGGTTGAATATCAGCAACAAAACAAAACGAGAGAGGGTGTCACTGCCAATAACTAACAAAAAAAAGAAATGTAGAAGAAGCATGATGAAAGCATAAACAAACCAAAAGGAAACCAAAATTAGATGATTATTTATTTGACTATGACATGCTCAACCAAAATCCACTGCTTTTTTGGATGGGGAAAATAAGCCAGTGGTTTTGAAAAGCTTACCGCAATCATATATGACTGGGGAACTATGCATTTGCAATGGAGGAATACATAAAATACGGGAAGCTTACATGGCGGATGTCAGATAAAGAGCCTTTGCCAAGAGAAGCTGATGTGCCGGTAAAATCTAGAACATCATCAATTAATTGGAACGCCAAACCCTGAAAGAACCACGAATTACATAAATAAACCCAGTCAGTTTCAAAAGATTACTGTCGAGGAAAAAGAGCAAGGAAACAGCAGCATAAATGCAGATATTTGGCACAAATCATGGTCATAATATAGAAAGGAAATTTGGATATTCCTAACCATGGCTCAGACTCAGACACCATAGTGGGTAACTAAATTATGGTTAAACTTGCAAGGAAATCAAGATAGTCATGTTTTGCCCAGTAAATGCCACCTCATGTAAAAGGACAATTTCGAGGGAAGCATATCATGGCTTAAACTATCGTTCCTTGCAAAAATAGTTAGATTATATTAGGACACAAATCTAAGCAAACACAAAAGTGGAAGGATTTTCAAAAAATGAGTTCCCCGGCTAGAAAAAATGGAAAGAGCTACAACTTAATGGAATAAAGATATTTTACTAGGGTTTACGGGTATGCAAACTATGCAGATCAAGTTAAAGTGAGGAGTAGAACCAATCTCGAGCTTAACCCTGACATATAGCTCAGTAATGTGAAGATCAGGTGTAGAAATGCTTCTTCAAACGATGCAATTAACAGCAATAGCCAGGATAATGTATCTTCTTCTTTTGTTTTTGTCAAGAAATACTATTTGAAACTCGTTGACCATTCAAAAGAGAAAACTGCTTACAAACCCCTCAGATACTATAAACAAATTCCAAGTCAGAAATGAAACTTCTTCAACTCAAATGAAGCAATAAATAAGCGTTAGAAGAGTTAATACAGAACACAAACCAGATTTTTTCCATAATCATATGCCAACATTGCAACTTCTGTACTTTGTCCAGCAAGAAGGGCAATTGCCTTGCAGCTGTTGGAAATCAGTGATGCTGTTTTGTAATATGTCTTTTGCATGTAGTACTCCATGCTGCAGAAAGTAGTGGTAGCGTAAGTGAACCAAAGAATTACAAAGCAACATGCTGTGGAAGTTCATGAAATGATTTGAAATTAATTTCTACAAACCATCCACCTGAGAAAATCTCACAACAACTAATGCAAACATTCTAAAGCAAAAATACAAAAAAATTCCTGCCTTTCTGAATATCCTGATGATTGCATGAAAAGAAACTCGAGTAAAATCACAGTTCGCACAAAATTTCTAGACAATCTGAGCCGTTCATATGTACCGAGATCAAATTTATTGTAGAACAGTATGGTAAGCATATATTACACCAAAAAAAAAAAAAAAAAGAACAGACAAAACATAGATATTAATAATACACACTGGAGCAGCATACCTACACCTTTGATCAGATGCCGTTGTCATTTGCATTGTTTCACCAGTAACAAGATGTTCCACAACTCTTGCCAAGAGAGAAACCACCTAGACATTAATTACATTCCTCTTCAGACACACGCATAAAGTTTTTCCATGCAAATGAAGGAATCATCTAAGCTACAATTACATACAGTCTATCTACCATAAAATTAGTGGCTATAACTAAAGGAAACAAAATTAATTAAATTCTTCTCCTAATCAGCAAAAAGATTTTTACGCTATTTCAGCTCTCTTTATAATGAAGCAAAATTCCACAAGTGTCAGTAAACTATTTTTAGTATATTATAGGTTGTACAAGCCTCCAACTCAGTGTTGCACGTTCACCTTTCAAATTACTGGGCAACCAGAAATATTTGTACACCTGCATGTGCATGCTAGACAGGAAATCATGCTTTGGACAAATAAAAACCAGGAATGCATATGTACCTCTGTGTTTTTCAAAGAGGCCAGTGCCACACAGGCTCTTGACAGTAAGAAATCACCGGCCAACACTGCCAACTGAAACAGGTAAGTGGAAGAACAGGTGAAAAGAGAATTAAACATTGCCACATTACGCCATGAGATAATGTCAAAGGAAACTGGAGAACAACCCAAATGATCTTTAAATTTTTCTAGAAAAACAAACAAGCAACACCAATAAAGTCAACAAGAGTGTTAATGGGACAGTCCCACAGACTATAAAAAAAAAAAGAACCTACAGTGAAAGGAACAGGAAGCTCAGAAAACTACCACCTAAGAATGTGAGAATCAAATAGGTGAATTGCACCTCCAATGCAAATTGTATGAGCATTAAAAAGTAACAAAGGCACATTCTCCAATTTCGGATATGTAAAAGTCAATCCACACAGGAAGTTGGCAACCCCAGATTCCATATAATGCAAACAGCCAAATGCATAGAGGAAAACCTCCTAAACTTTTCAAAGAGAACCATGTACCATGAAAGCACTCCCATTCATCATGTATGCCAATCGTTGCAGTTAACCAGAAAGACAAAACGAAAGGAAAGAGATCATAGGCGCACCTTGTTTCCCATTACAAAATTTAGCGATCCAACACCTCTTCTGGTATCAGCATCATCTAGCACATCGTCATGTAGAAGGCTGGCAACCTAAGAAGGTAGAGTAAAAGCTTTTAGCATTAAGAAACAGAAGCTTCATCTAATAACTAAGATTTACTCAAAGGCCGTTCAAATGCATCAAACAGCAAGAGAAGTTCATCAAATGGTATCTCCAATCTACAAAGGTTACCACAGAATACAATGGCATCAAATGGTATCTAACCTCTGAGTACATATGCATGTCCTAAGAAAATCATTTTCTAGACTAGAACACTTCCAAAATTATGTCATGTTGAGCCCCCAACAGCAGTCTTGGACATCAGAATAGCCGAAATTCTCCCTAAAAAATCTCAACTTCTTCAGCAGATGACTTTTATTATTTAACAATGAAGGCAAGTGTTCTCTAATCTCCTATTTAATTTTCCACATCTGTAGGTAACTTGTTCACCAGAACTGAGAAAACTGAACAAAATAAAAATAAATAGAAAAGAGTCTAATACTATTTTATTGCATCATGGGTCACGTACTTTTAAGGCCTGCAAATAAGACCTGTTACAGGTCTATTCACAAGGAACTCCTCTTGATTTCACTAACATTTTCACCTCTTCAGGGAAGCTATTTTAAAACTAAAGGTGATTTGTAAGAGATCATCCAACTCACTAAACGTTTTACTTCACTGATACTTGGGATGAGTTCCATTGAATTCGATTACTCCTTTAAAAACATAAAGATACCACTGTAATCTCAAAAAATTTTAAAGTAGAAATCCTACAACTTAGGTGAGGAGTGCTGAACTGTTTAACTATAACGGTAACTAATATGTTTAGGCCTAGCACAAATGGCGGCATATGATCAATAAAGCCGACACCACATAGGGGAACAGAAGGCTTTGTTGCTACAGTAACAATAGCAAATATGCAGCTAAGAAAATGCTAGAGAATTATTACTGTGGCTAAAGCTAAGCGAAGTTATAAAGGTGAATTATTTTGACCATAACTACTGTAAGCTGTGATTGCTTATGAGGCTATATTTCCTTCCAATTATGTACTCCATAAGTTATAACCTAACAATAGCCAGCTCTGCACTAATAAGTAACCTGTAATGATAGATAATAAAAGAGAATGGACTGGAAGAGTGGAAGGTATATATTTGGAGGCAGAAACTTGCACTACAACTCTTAACTTATTTCAGATTTAAAAAAGTTAACCATTAGTGAGGAAAAAATGGTTAATGATATTAGATAATTTTATAACTTGTTAAAAGGGGCATCAAGTATATAAAAACAGATTATGTCTATAAAGAAGAACGCTTGATGAGAGCTAACATGGATCATCTCGGTTATCTCAGCTATACACTGCTGCCTTGTCCGTAAATCCATGGATAAAGCATCAACGGCTGTATCAGGCAGTGGTCTTGATATTGGTGCGTCTATAGCTGTAGCCATCAGTAAGAGTACCTGACCACATTCACAACCATCAGCACAAAACTGAGAAGCATAGCTAGAGGATAATGGTGGATAGTATAGAAACAAAATATTTAGGTTAAAGAAGTGAAACACAATTTTGAAATCAAAATTAGGAAAAAAAAGAACAAGTAGACAAGGGTGACAACTAGGTGACAGTGCTGACGCAATCCAGTGAGACAAAAATTCCAGGAGGGGACACACAACGGGTTAGGGTTCATGGGAATGCTCGCCCCAAACATCAAATGCAGGCAGTCTTATAATAACATAACAGGTTATTTCTGCAACTTGAACCGGTGCTGCACATTGATACTTTTTCGCTTACAATTAAACTTGACGGCTGAAGAATGAACATCGGGCTCTGCCAATATCCACTGGAGGGTTTGCACTAGTATTTCTTCAAATGCAAAGAATACAAAATACTAGCTCTACTTATGGGATATTTGCTTTAATTGGATTTTACACACTACTCCTATGTGCTGAAAAATTTTGGAGGCTGGCTGTCTACCTTCAGATATTTAAAAAACTGTAATGAATTCTTTCTACCCATTCTTTGTCTGAAGCTCTAGTTTCTTATACAACGAAGACCAACAGGTTGTCCTTTCTTTAATCTAATTAATATATTCAGCATAATGGAAGTCACAGGGTACACGTTCGAACTGGTAAAAGAGCATAGGTTAATACGACATTGTTATTAAAAATAAATCTAGACGAGCCTCCACCAGAAACTTAATTTCCACCAAAACACCCTGTAAACAAGAAACCCATTCCATCCAACTAAAAGAAACAAGCAGGCTATTGACTGTCTTCAGTTCGGGTTTGGATACAGCAATTCTTACCGTAGGCCGAAATCGTTTTCCTTCTGCCCCAATCTTGAAAAAATATTCAGCAGCAGAGGCAAGCTTCGGGACCTGTATGACGTCAAACATTTGTTACTAAGCTACCAAGGCAAAGGCACATGATATAGGATAAAAATAAAAAATAAAAAAAAAGTACCTCCGCAACTACCATAGACCTGAGTCTATTAGCAAGAATTGATAATTCGTCAGCAACAAGTGAAAAAGGATCTATTTTCTCCTGCGAAATGAGATAGCAGAGTTATATTTAGTCACAATTTACAAACACCAACATACAGCACAGATCAAAAAATAAAATAAAATTTACAGCAAGGGAAAAACATGTATATTTATTTAGAACAAAAAAGGTTTCATAGCCCATTTCTGGTGGGGTTCCAGGCGTTATAATATATATATAAGATTTTTTTTTTTTTTTTTAAAAAAAGGATTCAACACCTATTCAGCAAACAATAAACTGAGAGCTGCAACAAAACCAGTTCCTGGGACTGCAAAAAAACCATTTCAAGAAAATCAGTTGACTACTTAAGCATGTTCAGTTAGCCAATCACCAGTAAGTGCTTTAACATAGTAATTCTGAGTGTGCTCTAATCTTCTTCAGTTGCAAAACAATGCAACCAAAAAGGTAAAAACTGGTTTTTTGCACATTATTATAGTATTAAACCACAAGAAACAAAATGCATGCTGTCAAAATTTCATTACAAAATATAAACTGATCTAAGGTTGATCTACTGATTCTGATAACAAAATTTTCTGGCATTTAAGATAGTAGATGCAGCAGCCATCCTGCCAGACATAATGTAAAGCTCCCTTCCTAAAATACAAAACGCAGCTGTAACTCACCTCAGCATGATGATCATATCGTTCAGATGAAATAAAGGAGGAATTTGGTGCAGATGCAGTTGATTTATGGCGAATGCCCATAAACGGATCTCTCCAACTGTTAGATGAGTTAGAAATTGTAGTGGGACTGTAATGGTCAGCCGTAAAAGCTGAATACCATCTTGCTTCATCATTTCTCTGTCCAACCTGCTCAACCATTTAAGGCAAGCAAGATTAGTGATATACCCCACAGAATAAAAACCATATTTGCAATCCAAATATTTCACAAACAAAGCAACAGAATGAAAAACCCCTTTAGCTAAAAAATCCCACTTGTGTATACAATTGTGGCTGCTAATGGATTGGCCTTGGAACCAACAAAAGATTAACAACAATGTGGAACTTTCTCTATGAACTGAAAGGTCAGAAGACCAAAACACAAGGGATGCTGGAATCTAAGAAAATAGATAAAACCTTGTCAAAAGAATGTGTTGTAATTTCAGACTCAATTTATTCAGTGGTCAATAATTTAGAAGATTAGAAGAAAGAATTTCAGACTCAATTCATTCAATGGTCAATAATTTAGAAGATTAGAAGAAAGTAAACACCAACTTGCCCAACCAACAGTTTTCATACATCAATAACCTAACTCCTACCAACTATACAAACCAGAAAACTGATTACAGATTCTCAGGATACAGAATGAAAATCAAACATCACTATCTCAACCAATGAATAGTTTTATACTTACAAAATCATAACTTTAGTACATGTTGACTAATCTCGTACTCATTGTAGAAGGGAAGCATCTTTTGCTCTTTTAAAGATCTTCTTTCAAGCCATATAAAGAACTGAAGGCAAGCGTACGGAAGCATAAAGCACATGAAAATGAATACAACTCTTAAAAACTAACAAGAGTCCGGATCAATTCATGAGTAAAAAGAAAAAGAGAATAATTTCTCCTCATCACAGACAAAAAGGGTCAGATAAACAAATTACTGATCAGAAGATTCAGAACAGGCTAATCAAAATCAAACCAATTAAAAATAAGAATGTGAACTAATAAAAACTACTGCAGCCTTCATTTCACTTTTTCTAATTTCATTCCCAAGAGTAAATACAGCACCAACTCCAAAATCATAAATACTATCCATCAAATTTCACAACTAAATCAAAATCAAGAAAACAAAAATCTGAGCTACAACAGATATTGAAACTGGAGGCGAAAAAGCTAGATGAATCCTAGGAACAGATAAAATTGGGGGAAAAGAAATAGATAAAGTTTCTTCCATATTCTTGACTACACAGACCCTACAATCAGTTGCATCATTGTCTCCTCTTCCCCCAAACATCCGAACAAAAATCATGATTCAAATCATTGTTAAATATCACTTTTACACAGACACGCAACCAGACCAGGATGACATAACTCACCTTAGAGAAAATCTCAGAAACAATCAAGCAGCTATAAGAACCTTACGTGCAAAACAAAAGACATTAACATCGTGTAAAAATGGGGGGGGAAGGACCCGACAAGCCATTTTCTACTTGCGAATCACGCAAACAATAAGTTGCTTTTTCTTCTCTTGATTAGCTTCGTCTCCAAATAAAAGAACCCCCAAAAATATCAAATGCAAAATCATGATTCAATCATTGAAAAAAAAAAAAACACCAATAACACAGACACCCAAGCAGACCCAGAGGACAGAAGTCATTCAAAACAAATCCGAAACAACAATCACGCACCTAGAACAACCACTCAGCCGAAAAAGGAACAGAAAAAAAGAACGCAATATAAGGTCATTAGTAACATACTATTTGATTTAAAATGTCGGAGGAAGAAACTGGGGCGGCAAAATTCCGGTACCGCGTGCCGCCAAATCGAAGAAGAGACGAGATGGAACGTCGAGATAGACTATGCATCTTTGCCGGCGAATATTTTTTCCGTTAATTTCCGGGAGGAATTTTCAATTAAATAAAAAGGAGGGAGCGGTTAATGAGGGGCGGTGAGTTAAAAGTGGTGGCGAGAAGAGGAAGGACGTGTCCGCAGCTGGGTCATTTGCAGGGTTTTAGGGTCGGCGATGGGGCGGAGCGGGCCATTACGTTTGTTCTTTGCCTTTGAAAATATTTTTTCTTAAAGAGAAAAAATAAAAATTTCTAATTATAGGCCATCATGGGCTAATTCCAAAAGAGGAAAAATTGGGATTCATACACAGAACTTTGGACTCATCGTCAATTCTACTCATTGATTTCCGGTTAGTCAATATTGTCCTTACTGTTTGAAATTTTTGTCAATTCTGCCCAATTGGCCCAATTTCCGTTAAACTTAACGGATTTCCGTAAATTTTTAACCAAAAACACCCTGATAGTTTCTTAAAATTATAAAAATAATTCTAAAAATATAAAAATAATAAAATAGGCCCTTTTTGTTCTTTTTTTCTATTTCATTTTATTTCTCTTTATTACTTTTCATAACCATCATATAGTATATGATCTTTAAAAAAATAATTATTTACTTTCAAAATCTATTTTTCATGTGCAATACATGTGATTTGGGTTGAGGGGTAATTTTATCATTTTAAATTTTATTTTCTATTCGTTATTTTTTTAGATTAATTTTCTTATATTTCCTGACTTGTATATATTGATACTAGTATAATTATTAAATTTCAATAATTAATTTACTTTTTATTTCATATATTATAAAAAAAATTAACATAGAAAATGAGGAAAAAAAATTAAGTTGAAATAAACATGTAAATTAATAGTTTATCATTCTAAACAAAAATCGAAAAAATCTTTAAAAAAAAAATTGCAAGACAAGTCTTTCCTCCTTCACTTCCTCTAATTCATAGATGAGTTAGGAAACATAAATTTTACGTGATCTAGCCTACAATAATTATTTTCTTCGTTGTAATAAAAATAATATAAAAATTAGAAAATCGTTTGAAACATGAAAATGTGCTAATTTAATTAGTCCACAATGATGCATTTCTACAAATTTGGTTAACACTATTTTTATTCTTTTTTAATAATTTTTTTTACCGATTAGCGGTTGCTAAACTACATAAGCAATTATTGAATTTCATGAAAAAGATAAATAATTGTATTTTTTAGCAAAATAATTACTAAATTATACTACCTGACTTGTATTATTTTTATAAAAACGAACAAAATAATCATTTTAGGCTAGATCAAGTAAAGTTTATGTTTCGTAACTTACCTATGAAATAGAGGAAGTTAAGGAGAAAAGACTTGTCTTTGCATTTTTTAAAAAAGTTTTTTTCGCTTTTTGTTTCAAATGATAAACTATTAATTTTCATGTTTATTTCAACTTAAGTTTTTCTTCCTCATTTTCTTTATGTTAAAGTTTTTATAATAGATGAAATAAACGGTAAATTAATTATTAAATTTAATAATTATTCTGTATCAATATCAAGTCAGGAATAATAAGAAAAAGAATCTCAAAAAAAGATGAATAAATAAAAGAAATTACAATTTTAAAAATTTAAAATGACAAAATTACCCCTCAACCCAAATCATATGTGTTGCACATGAAAAATAGATTTTAAAAATATATAATTATTTTCTTAAAGATCATATAGTATATTTTGATGGTTATGAAAAGTAATAAAGAGAAATAAAAAGAAATAGAAAAAATGAATAAAAAAGGGACTATTTTGTTATTTCTATATTTTTAGTGTTATTTTTACAATTTTTTGAAACTATCGGGGGTATTTTTGGTTAAAAACTAACAGAAATCCGTTAAGTTTAACGAAAATTGGGCCAATTGGGCGGAATTGACAAAAATTTCAAACAGTAAGGACAAAATTGGCTAATCGAAAATCAATATGATAGAATTGACGATAGGCCCAAAGCTTTGGGTATAAACGCCAACTTTTCCTTACAAAAGATCATTGATTAAAGTTTCCCCTTTCGGTAATAAGGGGCTTGTTCCTTGGATGTATTTTTATGTTGATGTGAATCATATATATTCTCATGGAGATAATTTACTTTTTTTCTGAAATCTTTATAACTATATATGATGATTTATTAAAATGACAATTGCACTATAATCCATTTATTGTTCTTCTCGATTTCTAACTTGTTTTGAAGATTGGATGTTGTCTCCCTCAGGCCCCAAAATTTTCTCCAAAATTTCCAAGTTCAAGAAATCAACTCATCAATTCACCAATTTCTCCTCAACTAAGTGCAATCAAACATTGGCAATAAAAATAGAAGTAATCTAAATCGGATTCTCTCCCTATTCTCTCAAACCCTAGCCGCGTCTTAAAAACAAATTTCTTTCTCCTATCTACCCATGTTCTAAATCAGACTCTCTCCCTATTCTCTCAAATCCTAGCCGCATCTTAAAAAAAAATTTCTTTCCCCCATCTTCTCTCATGGGTAGATGGGGGAATTGATTTGATTTTTCTTAGTTTATAGTTCTTTTTATCGTTGAATAAGTGGGATTTTTCCCCCAAGTTATAGTTCCTTCAGTAGATTAATTATAATCTATTAAGAGAGTAGGGTCTTTCTTGCAGTGTTCGTGGCGTCTTCCGTATTGTTAATGCGATGTCCATAGTTTCGTTCGTTGCTTCACACTAAGCGATTCAAGAAGATTCAGTCATTATAGATTTATTTAATAGATCTATGATTTGGGCTTTTCATCAGATGATTAAAAATATGTTCCTGATAAGATTGATTATCGGGCACGTGATATATTCATTGTTGTATTGGGTAGATCTAGATAGGTTTATCCACGAGAAATACAACAATAGTATTAAGTTTAAGTTTGTTGTAAGTTGTGTTCTTGTTTCGACTGTATCTTTTCATTATCAATCGTTACTGTACGATTTCCAGTAAAGTAATAAAATACAACTTTTATTTTTTTTTTAAGAAAAAAAGAAAACATTGGCAATCAAAACTTTAGCACACACACATCACATGCATGGTTTTTAATCCTTTTAATTTCATCTTCTTAACTGCTCTTATATCAAGCCGGTGAAGAATGGAAATTTGAAGTTGTTGAGTAGAAATCAACAATTTGGTTTTGACAGCGTTTGAAACAGATCTGGCATAAATCAGCTCCAGGATTGAAGAAACAGAGGTCGCCTTTATTCCTTCATGTTCAAGAAAGGGGGAGGCCTTCAAGGACACATTCGATGATTTCGAACAATGAAATTCGGATTGCTCAGAGAGAAAAAGTGCATTGCTCAGATATGCCCAGAGCCTTTTATACTTTGTTACTGTGGAAGTTGTATTCATTGTTATGGGAGTGGCAATTCCCAAAACAGTGTTTAGTGCCGAGCTAGTCAAAAGGAAAATAAGTGGCCTTTCTCAGGTAACATCCAGTACTAATATGCCAGCTCCATCACCAAAATTATATTTAAGCTCATTACAATATATCCTCACTATCACTATTCTACTGTCAAGAAGTCAGACAATGTCATAGTATCTGCTGTCAATCACAAAAAAAGTCAGGTAATTCAAGTACACACAATCATATTGCTGATACGGCAAATAATTCGAATCAAAGAAACCACGAATAGTGCAAGGTGTAGGCGATAGGTAAATCAAGCTATGACAAATACAATGGATGTTAACAACCCAAAATTGTATTGACCCCATGATGGGCAGTAACACCAAATCAATGGACAAATTCATTACTCAAAAACAAGAAACCCAGTGGATTAATCGGGTTTTTCTAAGCAGAATGCTTAGTTGACTGAGCACACCATTCACGAGTTGGATGCAAATAATTGGTGGCAGGGAAAGAAGGTTTTCATCTCAGTTAGGAGTGTGACGCTCAAGAAATCAAGCATCAGTTGGTTGCAAAAATCTGAAAAATGACAAAAAATTACCAAGAGAAGTTCAAACAGTAACCACACATCCCAGGAGGATAATATTTTTGGCCCACACAATAAAAGAATAGTCCAGATAAATATAGACTGGAAAGTACAACCTTGCAAATATATATATATATATATATGTTGATACATGTTGGGGCACTAGAACTTTTAGACATGGTAGCCTTGCTTGGGGATGACATTATTCATCAATAGGCAATCTTGGGCAACAAACAGAAGTTTCAATGTGCGATGGGCTTATAATGGTAGAGCCAAACTGACAAGTAAGTAGTCATAACTCCAACTTGACTATGCATGTTATTGGTAGTGAAACAGGATCTATAGAAGGTTTTGCAGCGGTTGAGCCAAACCAGTTGCCTCTGTTCATATGAGTATTTTATCATGGAATTTATAGAGGCATGAAAAATGTCACTTCAAAACATGTATTAGGTACATTAATTAAGCAGTGTAAACCTAGTCTTTTATTTGTTATGAAAACTAAAGCCGACAAAGAACATGATAGATGCATGGCAGCAAACTACTCCATTTATGCACTCTTTTGTAATAGACCCAGTAGGTCTAAGTGGTGGTTTAGCCTTATTTTGGCTAGATGATGCCTAGGTTAATGTGTTATTGCACAACTCCAATGTAATAGTAGCTAAGGTATGTGAGTCTACTGGGGTTGAGTGGATAGCCACATTTTTGTATGGTCTTCCATCACATTAAGAAAGAGGATGAATGACACCACCAGAAGCTTGAATCAGGTTATTAATTAGGAAAACAAACATGGTGGAAGACAAGTCAAAGATCAAGATACAAGGAAAATTTAAAAATTTCTTTCACAAAATGATTTGTAAGAATTGAAGCACATTAGATACTGGTACACATTAACCAACAAAAGACAAGGTCAAGAAGACATCTTGATGTAGACCTTCCTGAGGAAGCTCCCATCATGACACCTAAGTCTTCTGGTCCTATGACACGTTCTAAAGCCAAGAAGTTGCAAGAAAGTATCAATGGTCTCCTACGTCAGACGGAAGTACCTATACCGAAAGAGTATGATGCTAGGTTGATCAATTTCCTTACCATTCAAGTCTAGTGTTTTCTGATCCTTTCAGGTATGGTTTGCGGGGAAATAATTCAACTTGCCCGAGGAAAAATGATGTTTGCCGAGAGAATCAACAAATGCACCCATTCGGCTAACCCGTTTGCCGGGAAAAGGTCATTACTCGGACAACTCTTCACCCAGGCCCAATTTTTTACATCCGATGATCGTTTTGGACATTTTATATACACATTATCGGAGGTAGAACCCAGCTTGTCCGGGAGATTTTGCCATTTTCTGAGAGTTTTCTCAAAACGGCCCATTTTGCCGAGTCAAGAACCCGGGAGAGCCGTTTCAGCTTACCGATTTGATGTTGTGGCCTGATTTTTGGTTTATTTTGATGTTGTAAGTTATTTTAAATGTTAGAACCTGAAAGAGGGATTCCTTAGGGACCAGGAAAGGTCCACTAAGTCAAGTAATTATTTTTCTAAAATTTTCTAATAGTATAGGAAAGCTAGTTGTATCATTTTAGACATAGTTGCAACTTTTGACTTTTCTAGTTGCTTGCTTCACCACCTAACTTGTGGAGCCAGCCAAGTTTGATGTGATAAAGAGTCTTCTTCCTCAAAAAAACGGGGAGGATAGAAAAAAAAAAGAAAATTCCATAGCTTTTCAAAGCTTGAAACCGAGAGATCATCAATGGATTGTCCATGGTGAAATCTTGCAATTCCAAGGTTGGACTTTGGTGGTTTACACTCCGGGAGTGTCAAGCAACGAGTATGGCAACTAGGGATGAGTTTGGCCTGGTTGTTGGAGCTCTCTAATCAAGTTTGTAACAATCTAAGAGGAGCCAAGGTCGTTGAATCCATTTCCTTTGCGATTGTTAGTGATTCCTTTACTTTGGTTGTTGTTATCAACTTGGTAGCATACTAAGCTCTCTTTCCATTCAGATCTCATGTCATATTGCTCTTTTAGGTGTAGTTTTGGTGGCTGCATCTATTTGTGTATCGAATTCCTTTATCACTAAGTAATCTAGCCAAACCGTGAATTGTGTTCATGGTTATATCTTGCGATTGATCCTTGTCTCTTTGATTCTGCCTGCGTGCTCCATGTGTTTAACTTCATATCTTCTGAAAATCCTATCTTGTAAGTCTAAAAGGGTTTAGTAGGCCAGGGGTGTCAATTTATTAAGCCAAACATTGCATGACTCCAGGTTGTATCACTTAGGGTCAGTCTGTTTTTTCCAATTTTTGTTTTAGTACTTTTTGTTGTCCAAAAATTCTGAAATCTGGTGGGTTTTAACGTTAGTGTATTGGAGATATTGTGTCCAAATTTCAGGTCAAAATAAATTCGTTTACTATATAAACGAATCCAATATATTTTCTGTGGCAGATTGGTCCAAATCCATTTAGCTACTGCCCATTTTGGTTACTGGGGCTGTAGGCGTCCAAATGCGCTCAAAATATGCCATAAATTTTCATTTCATAATATAAGTATTGTGTCAAATTTTCAGGGCAATCCGACGTCGTTTGCCTGGGGTTCATTTTTTTGTTATAATCACTACTTTCGTCGGTTTTGCATGTATTCTGAAAATCAGTTTGGTTACTGGGGTTTTTGCCACCATTCAGTGCTTCATTGTCTATTAATAAACTCCTGAAAGAGTATTTGTGGAATGGTAAAGTCCGGGGCAAGGGTTACCTTTCATATCCATATGTTTCGCTTCCGATTTTGGGGATTTCGGGTAGAAATCTACATCAATTTGGTATCAGAGCCAAATTGGTGATTATATTATCCTAATTTGGCCAAGATCCAGGTTCTTTTACCATTTCCATACCTTTGAGTCTAGGTCTAGGTTGGGTAGTTTGAGAGGGTAGAGTGTGGTACAATTTGGTTCATCGCATATCTTGTGTTATTTGCACTTTTCTTGGCTTTTCATCACTTGTGCATGGTTTTATTGTGATATACACATCCGGGATCATTCTCCCCTGCCTTCCCCTGTTCTTGGCTGAGAAAATTAGGTCTTGGACCAAAGAGATTTGCAGCACTTACAATTTTTTTCCACAAGTCTAGTCAATACCAAAGTGTACCCGAGTTTGTCAGTGTACCCGAGTTTGTCTTCTTGATCCGGGTAATTTTGTTTGTTGTGTTTGAGTTTCTTGCACCAATTTTCTCTATATACAACTGAATTTTATTCAAGGTATCTTTGTTATCAAATGGTGAATGGGCAAAATGTATGAAGCGTCTTAAAAACAGAAGAAAAGACGTGGACAAAAAAAAAATAAAGACCCACTATTTGATTTACATTGCTTGCGCTGAAATTTGTGTTGTTTGGTGCCTTTCTTAGCATATTTGTTGAGTCTTTACCTTTAATACAACAACCAAATTTTCTTAGAAATTTTACCGTTTTAAAGTGTGTGTTAATTGCTAGTGTTTTCTACTCGGACTTGTCTATATTCCATCCGAGTTTGTACTCTTGTTTGCGTACCTTGTTTACTTCATTTGGTGACCTTAGTGATTGGATTGGATAACCTTGTGTGGAGTACCAATAGTTGGTTCGAGTTGTTGCCTAGCTGAAGTACTTGAGCTTACTCTTGGAAGCCATCAAATACATTGCACACTTGGGATTCAAGTTAGTGAGATTGTGAGCCTTTATCCCTTTACTATACTTCTAAACCTCCGAGTGACATTGGTGAGTGTTTGGGAGGGGTATTTGGGAGTGAGACCAGCCTCTTAAAATCTCCATTCTTGCTTTGTTTTGTGTTTGCGCTAACTTTTCAGGTCATTCAAGATGGCACCACCAAAGAAAGATGCCGCCACAAAAGGTACTCAACAACCAACTCCTCAACAAGAAGAAGAATCCGAGGAGACATCAACCCTATCAACCTTAGCTTCTCAAATCCAACTTCCTGTCACTCAAGTTGGTAATATAGGAAAGGAAATAGGTGACATAAAGATTTCAAAAGCTGAATTTGCTCAAAAGCAAGACACCTTGGCCGAGAGACAGGAAAGAATGGGAGCTCAAATGACAGACCTTAAAGGTGAGCACGGTACTTTGGCTTCTAACTTTGCTACTTTTCAGGAACAGATGCAAAATGTTCAAGATGAAGTAAGAAGCACTGTAAGGCAGCCACATCCACCACCACCACCACCATTTAGACCCCTGAGGCCAAATAGCCCACCGGTTGAGTTGTCTACGGAGGATGAAAGATCCGAGCCTCCATCACCTCCAAGAAGAATTAGACCGAGGAGAAGGGATGATGAACCAGAGAAAGGGAAGCTAAAGCATGATCTCCCAAAGTTCTTTGGCACATCAGAACCGGATAAATACTTGGAGTGGGAGATGAACGTGGACAAGGTGTTCAATATGCATTACTATGCCGAGGACTATAAGGTAAACGCCGCCATTTCTCAATTTCGTTTAAATGCTAACACTTGGTGGCTTGATGTTAACAGAAGAAGGCGTAGAGATGGTGATCCAGAGATTGTAACTTGGTTACAATTGAAGAGATTAATGAGGCAAAATTTTGTGCGCAAATCATATCAGAAACAGTTGAGAAATGAACTACAAGATCTAAGGCAAGGTTCTCGTACTGTTTGGGACTTTTATTGGGAATTAGTTTCTTTGCGTACTAAATTACAGTTAGATGAGTCTGATGAGTCTATGGAGGCACGATTCATTCGAGGATTGAATCGCAATTTGAGGGATTCAGTGGAGTTACATGCTTTGAAGGTACAATCCCTTGAAGAATTGGTTGAATATGCTGACACTTTGGAGAAGCAAACCAAAACCCGTGAATCAAGGGCTGTCCCTACATCTTCTAGGCCCTATTCCGGATCTACATCAACCAAACCAAGCCCTCAATCAAGCCAAATGAGGCCTGCCCCTACTCGGACTCCATTTCAGCCGAGAAGACCTCCCATAACATCAACCGGATTTCCTCCAAAACCGGTTGCAAAAGCACCTCCACCTAAGGTAAATCCTCATTCTAAACCTTCTACTTCCACTAACCGTGTGTCTAATGTACCGTCTCAGGGAAATAAGACCCAATGCTTTAAGTGCAAAGGGTTTGGTCATTTTGCTAGAGAATGCCCTAACCAAAGGATAATGCATATTGCTGATGATGGTGAAGTTTTTAGTGAAGAAGAAGACACGGTCCTTGAACCCGAGCTAGTAGAGAATGAAGAATTACCTACTAACATGGAGTTTGAGGTTGAAGAAGAAGATGAGGAGATAGATTACAGTTTGGTGGTTAGAAGGACTTTGAGTACACAACCACTTCCTGAAGATTCAGAAGTATTTGAACAACGTTCTACCATTTTTCACATGAAGTGTAAGGTACAAGGTAAAACTTGTTTAGTCATTATTGATGGTGGTTCTTGTGCTAATGTCGTTAGTGAAGATTTAGTAAAGAAGTTAGCACTGAAGACGACTAGACATTCCCAACCATACAAGTTGCAGTGGATTGGAGATACTGGGTTTGTTCAAGTCAAATTGCAAGCAAAGGTTCCTATTGAAATAGGTCCCTTTAAGGATGAGGTACTTTGTGACATTGTTCCTATGAATGCTTGTCAAATTCTTTTAGGTAAACCGTGGGAATATGATCACAAGGCTACACACGATGGTGTTACCAACAAGTACACTATCCGTGTCAATGGTTCATCCTATGTTCTTCCTCCTTTAAGCCCAAAAGATATCCACGAAGCTCATGATCATTTGAAGGCACAAAAGGAGAAAGAAAGAAGAAAGGAAAGGGCTTTGAAAAAGCCAATATCTGAGACCTTTACATCCTCGGGTAAGCAAATTTTATTGGCAACTAAGGATGATATTGATGAAGTATGTGATACTACTCCTCTTTGCATTTTGTTAGTCCTTAAAAATTATTGTTTTACTAACACTAATGACTCGAAAGAGCCCACTTTGCCTAGTGTTATTGCAAAGGTTTTGCAGGACTATGAGGATGTGTTTCCTGAGGAGTTACCATCAGGTTTGCCACCACTTAGAGGCATTGAGCATCAGATAGATTTTATCCCTGGAGCCTCTATTCCCAACAGACCAGCCTACAAGGCCAATCCAGTGGAGACCAAGGAGTTACAATGGCAGGTAGATGAATTGCTTTCTAAAGGAATCTTTATCTCCTTGTGCAGTGCCAGTGATTCTAGTCCCTAAAAAGGATGGAACCTGGAGGATGTGTGTGGATTGCAGGGCAGTTAACAAGATCACAATCAAGTACAGACATCCAATCCCCAGATTAGATGATATGCTTGAAGACCTTAGTGGATCAAGGATCTTCTCTAAGGTTGATTTAGCATCCGGATATCACCAAATTCGGATGAGGCCAGGGGATGAATGGAAGACAGCTTTTAAGACCAAATTCGGTTTGTATGAGTGGTTAGTGATGCCTTTTGGGTTAACTAACGCACCTTCTACTTTTATGAGGCTTATGAATTATGTTTTGCACAAGTTTATTGGTAAATTCGTTGTGGTGTACTTTGATGATATATTGATTTATAGCCGTGACATAGAAGAGCATGCTTTTCACTTGTCTTGTGTTTTATCTGCTCTTCGTGCTAACCGTTTATTTGGCAAGATGTCTAAGTGTAATTTTTGTGAAAAAGAAGTGGTCTTTTTGGGATTCATTGTAGGTAAGGATGGCGTTAAGGTTGATGAAGAAAAAGTACAAGCCATCCGTGATTGGCCTACTCCTACCACGGTAACACAAGTTCGATCCTTCCACGGACTTGCAAGCTTCTACCGAAGGTTTGTACCCCATTTTTCCTCTATTGCAGCCCCTATCAATGAGCTGACAAAGAAAAATGTTAAGTTTCATTGGGGTGATAGACAGGAAAAAGCATTTAACACTTTGAAGTCAATTCTTACAAAAGCCCCTGTTTTAGCATTACCTAACTTTGATGATGTGTTTGAAGTTCAATGTGATGCTAGTGGAGTAGGTATTGGAAGTGTTTTATTGCAGAATGGAAGGCCTATTGCATATTTCTCAGAGAAGTTCAATGGTGCTCAATTGAACTATCCCACTTATGACAAAGAGTTGTATGCAATTATTCGTACCTTGGAGCATTGGCAGCACTACCTTCTACCCAAAGAGTTTATCATTCACACAGATCACGAGTCAATCAAGTACTTGAGTGGCCAGCAAAAACTTGACAAAAGACATGCCAAATGGAGTACTTTCTTGGAGACTTTTCCTTATGTGATTCGGTACAAAAAGGTAAGGAGAATAAGGTAGCTGATGCTTTATCTCGCAGGAACTTGGTACTGGCTACTCTTGAAAGTAAATTCTTTGGTTATGACTTTCTTCAGAAGCTTTATAGTAATGATTCTGACTTTGCTTCCATTTATGAAAGTTGTGACAAAGGTGCTTTTCAAAAGTACTACAAGCATCGTGGTTTATTGTTTAAATCTAATCGCTTGTGTGTTCCTGCTTGTTCATTGCGTGATTCTCTCATTGCCGAGTCTCACATGGGTTCTTTGATGGGCCATTTTGGTGTTTTAAAGACCCTTGATTATTTGGGTGAGCATTTTTATTGGCCACGCATGAGAAAAGATGTGGAAAGATATTGTGCTTCTTGTATTCCTTGTAGATAGGCCAAGTCAAAGTCCAACAACTTTGGTTTGTATACTCCTTTGCCTGTACCTATTTATCCTTGGGTTGACTTGTCTATGGATTTTGTCTTGGGACTCCCCACCTCACAGAGGGGACATGACAGTGTGTTTGTTGTGGTAGACAGGTTTTCAAAGATGGCACACTTCATACCGTGCAAAAAGACTAATGATGCAAGGTATATTGCAGATTTGTTTCTCAGGGAAGTTGTACGGCTTCATGGAGTGCCAAGGACCATTGTCAGTGACAGGGATACAAAGTTCCTGAGTGACTTTTGGAAGTCATTGTGGACGAAGCTTGGAACTAGGTTATTGTTCTCTACCACGGCTCATCCTCAAACGGATGGCCAAACGGAAGTTGTAAACCGTACCTTGGGTTCTCTCCTAAGGGCTTTGGTTCGTGGACACAAGAAGTCATGGGAAGAGTGTATTCCAATTGCAGAATTCTCTTATAATCGGACAGTGCAACGCACTACCGAGATCTCTCCCTTTGAATGTGTTTATGGGTTTAATCCACTAACCCCACTTGACCTTTCTATTGTTTCTTTGCCTAATGATGTTATTGTTGATACAGATGGAGCAAAGAGGGCCAAGTACATCAAAGATCTCCATGCAAAGGTTCGTGATATGATTGAGAAGAAGAACGAGTCGTATGCTCGTTTAGCAAACAAAAGCCGCAAGGAGATGGTGTTCCAACCTGGAGATTATGTCTGGGTTAACTTCCGAAAGATTCGTTTCCCTAACAAGCTTAAATGCAAACTTGATTCTAGAGGAGATGGACCTTTTAAAGTGCTTGAGAGGCTGAACAATAATGCCTATGTTCTTGATATGCCAGGTGAGTATGGTGGTAGTGCAACATTTAATGTTTCTGACCTTACTCCCTTTGATTTCGCAGAAAGAGAAGCCACGGATTCTATGAATCCTTTTCAAGGGGGAGGGGATGATGTAGACCTTCCTGAGGAAGCTCCCATCATGACACCTAAGTCTTCTGGTCCTATGACACGTTCTAAAGCCAAGAAGTTGCAAGAAAGTATCAATGGTCTCCTACGTCAGACGGAAGTACCTATACCGAAAGAGTATGACGCTAGGTTGATCAATTTCCTTACCATTCAAGTCTAGTTTTTTCTGGTCTTTTCAGGTATGGTTTGCGGGGAAATAATTCAACTTGCCCGAGGAAAAATGATGTTTGCCGAGAGAATCAACAAATGCACCCATTCGGCTAACCCGTTTGCCGGGAAAAGGTCATTACTCGGACAACTCTTCACCCAGGCCCAATTTTTTACATCCGATGATCGTTTTGGACATTTTATATACACATTATCGGAGGTAGAACCCAACTTATCCGGGAGATTTTTCCATTTTCTGAGAGTTTTCTCAAAACGGCCCATTTTGCCGAGTCAAGAACCCGGGAGAGCCGTTTCAGCTTACCGATTTGATGTTGTGGCCTGATTTTTGGTTTATTTTGATGTTGTAAGTTATTTTAAATGTTAGAACCTGAAAGAGGGATTCCTTAGGGACCAGGAAAGGTCCACTAAGTCAAGTAATTATTTTTCTAAAATTTTCTAATAGTATAGGAAAGTTAGTTGTATCATTTTAGACATAGTTGCAACTTTTGACTTTTCTAGTTGCTTGCTTCACCACCTAACTTGTGGAGCCAGCCAAGTTTGATGTGATAAAGAGTCTTCTTCCTCAAAAAAATGGGGAGGACAGAAAAAAAAAAAAAAAGAAAATTCCATAGCTTTTCAAAGCTTGAAACCGAGAGATCATCAATGGATTGTCCATGGTGAAATCTTGCAATTCCAAGGTTGGACTTTGGTGGTTTGCACTCCGGGAGTGTCAAGCAACGAGTATGGCAACTAGGGATGAGTTTGGCCTGGTTGTTGGAGCTCTGTAATCAAGTTTGTAATAATCTAAGAGGAGCCAAGGTCGTTGAATCCATTTCCTTTGCGATTGTTAGTGATTCCTTTACTTTGGTTGTTGTTATCAACTTGGTAGCATACTAAGCTCTCTTTCCATTCAGATCTCATGTCATATTGCTCTTTTAGGTGTAGTTTTGGTGGCTGCATCTATTTGTGTATCGAATTCCTTTATCACTAAGTAATCTAGCCAAACCGTGAATTGTGTTCATGGTTATATCTTGCGATTGATCCTTGTCTCTTTGATTCTGCCTGCGTGCTCCATGTGTTTAACTTCATATCTTCTGAAAATCCTATCTTGTAAGTCTAAAAGGGTTTAGTAGGCCAGGGGTGTCAATTTATTAAGCCAAACATTGCATGACTCCAGGTTGTATCACTTAGAGTCAGTCTGTTTTTTCCAATTTTTGTTTTAGTACTCTTAGTTGTCCAAAAATTCTGAAATCTGGTGAGTTTTAACTTCAGTATATTGGAGATATTGTGTCCAAATTTCAGGTCAAAATAAATTCGTTTACTATATAAACGAATCCAATATATTTTCTGTGGCAGATTGGTCCAAATCCATTTAGCTACTGCCTATTTTGGTTACTGGGGCTGTAGGCGTCCAAATGCGCTCAAAATTTGCCATACATTTTCATTTCATAATATAAGTATTGTGTCAAATTTTCAGGGCAATCCGACGTCGTTTGACTGGAGTTCATTT